AAATCAAATACAAGCACAAACATTTCATCAAATAATTAAATAAACATATTTTATTAAATAATAATAAGTTAAAAGTAATAATTTGTAATCAAGCATATTAATACGTGTTGTGTAAAATTGAGAAATTAAAAGTTATTAATACTTCTTAAATTCTAAATAAAAAAATAAAAGAAGTTTAACACTCTAGGGCAGTGTGACAACCAAAAAAAACTCAGAGGTTAATCACATCTCAAAAGTCTATTAAAGTTCACCACCCCTGTCATAGTGTAGGCATATCTAGTTTCTTAGATTGTAAATTCACATCAAGAATCTCTGTAATCAACTTCCATCATATTATGTATGCAATTAACGAATAGGAATAATTTTGTCAGTTGATCTTTAATCATTAAACGCCATTAACATTTCAGTGTGCCTATCTATAGGTCAGTGCGCAGTTTTTGTATTTAATTATGATCGTTTCAATGTTATAATGAAATAAAACAATTATAAGTTTCATTAAAATTTGTACCTATGTAAAAAGTTTTCGTCGTACAAATTTGCAAAATTTGAATTTATTACTTAGTTATTTTAATAATTTCAATGGACATTATGACCCGTCATTTATAACGGGCATGCAACTAGTATATAAATACAATTTAAGTGTCTGTCAGTTCGTCCTCGCTAAACTAGGAAACGGCTGAATAGATTTCAATGGGACTTTCACCACGAGGTAGAGTGTTCTTTCAAGCATACATTCGACGATTTTTTATCTCGGAATTTAACCCCCAAATTGAAAATCTATATATTTTTATTTCGTTTGTATGATATTATTATGTATCTATACTAGGTGTTTGTACAGATGTATGTTTTTTCTGTACGCCGCCCAAAAAGTTTAAGTCGGTAACGCAGCCATATTCATATTATTCTGATACCTGCAATACAATTACAAGAGGTAGACGATTATTATAATACATGTTATAATAATTTCTATTCCAAAGGTATATATTACCTATTACTCGTATGATAGACCACAGTATATGTTTTCGAACGAAACATAGCAATAACTAATAATACGCATTATACAGTATACGCACATGAAAATACATATTATGATATTATACATCCCTACAATATATAATTATAAATTACGATATTACTTAGTTCCGAATAGATAGGTAGGTATATTGTTCATGGTCGTCTTATTAAAACTTTCTAAATTATTCACTCGTAATAATAATATTTTTTATACAGAGATACAGACGAGATAAAATATAAAAATACGCATAGGAATTGTTTAAAAAATATATATCATTATTGTCACCATATAATATTAACTAGTTAGGTACTAAAAATGTATTTGTTTAAACATTTTATACTTAACTAGTTAATTATTTTTCTTGTTTGTTAAAAAAAATTTAGCCAAATTTAAGTAACTAATTTTCTTTAAAATGACAATTTATATTTTAAGTAATCTGGTTTCGACTATATAGTTTTAACTTAACTTTTCATATGAGGAAAAATAATAATTTTCTGAAAATATTAATACGCATACATCGATATTCTATATTTAGGTAAACGATACGACAGTTTATTATTTTTTAGCGTTTAATGTTGGTGTGTAATTGTTCATAGTAAGAGGGTACTATATCAGCTACTACAATATTATTACCGTATTCGCGTCTCTCATACCTCTTTCTATTTTTATGCGCTTAAAATAAATCTAAAAAATTAAAATGATAGTGACTGTTACAGTCAGTTCAATATTTGATTTTATACAAACATTTCCAGAAAATTAATTTTTTCCAAAAATGTAATCAATGTCTTTTAAATTAAGGGTTCAGATAAACTAAAAATACTAAAAATTATAACTTGTAAAAAATACCAGACACTTACCTACTAAAATATAGCTGCAGACTCTTAATAGAAAACAATTTATAATGCATTTAAAAAAAAAAAATAGTATATCACTGAACGTACAAGGTGATTATTGTATCTTAATTTATTACCATATTTACCACATCACGATTATGATCAATTTATTACTCTTCCCTACTCCTCCGATCTAAATTTTAAACTGTAATAACCTGTAAACGGTAAATTAAGTAACATTTTTTCTAATATTTGTTGAAAAACAAGGGGGGGGGTGTCTCAAAAGTTAATACTCATTTATTGTATTCGGATTTACGGTAAACATTTTTAATATAATTTTAAAATAAAGTTTAAACAATTTTTGTTGTGATTAAAAAAATAGATATTAAATTTGCTTACAATCCGTTAAGGAAGTTTCAAAGTTTCTGAAAAAATAACGGTTCCATGTATTTATAGTTATTAGAATAATCTATGCGATCTGTAGTCACGTTGAATTCTTCTAAAAATACTATCATTACAAGTATTACAAGTATAATTCTTTTGCACAATAATTATTGATTGATAGGTAGTAAATTTATTGTTATTTTTATTATTATTTTTCATATAATTTGATATGTTTTAAATTTCCCAAGGCACAATTACATCATATTTTCAACTATTCATTATATCCTTGAAAGATTATACCTATATATACGCGAATTAAATTTTTTCATAAATTAGGTCAAATGTATTAAAATTTGTTATAATAAAATATAAATATAATGAGTTCTCATCCTTATATTATTTTATACTAAATACATTATTTTATATTATTAAATGCGTTAACTTTTTGTATAAACATTTTGATCCCAATTCGCATGGTAGACACGGGTTACTTAACGAAGTTAAATTTGGTTCTAAAATATTAATTATTTTGAGTAGGGTAACTAAGTGTTGGTTACAAATTTTCAGGGAAATGATAACTCAGTTAAGTTAAAAGTTACTTTTTTTTTTAATTACTCTTTACCGTTAAAAACATATTTTATACTCAAATATTTAAAACTATGTAGACTTAATAAACAAAACTTGCGAGTTATCCGATATCTCTACATTGGCCGTATGTCCTTGTTAAGTGATATTCATGTGAAAATACGTAATTTTTAGTCGAAAAATAAGTGTAATAATACATAAATAAGTATTTTTTTTTTATAAATTATTTAAATTTTAACAAACTAACTAATTCAAGTTGAAACTATTTATTAAAATAAATTATTTTCTAATTTTAAAAACTGTAGACATTGTCTAGGTCTCCTCACCTCTGCAGTTAACCAACGTTTTTTAACATTAGTTTTACCACAATTCATTAAATGCACGTAATTCATTCTTTCACCGCGAAATGAAAAAAAAATCACAATATTGCAATTATTGTTGAATTATAATTCAAACCAAATTGATCGAGAACGTAATGAACTAACGCAAGTCATAGAATTTTTAAAAAATAATTGTACTAGTAAAGACTATCTAAATTCACTAGACTAAATCTATACTTTACTATATACTAACTAGTTTACTTTTGCTTCAAAGAGTTCTTATATCGGGTGATCTATTTAAATGGATTATCTAGGAAAGTATTAACTTTTTTCAATTTTTCATTGTCTTTTTGCTTAATTTAAGAAACAAGCAGTGCTTAAATGTTACATTGATTTCATTATCAAATGTCAACTTATATTAAAAATGTCAATAAATAATTGGAGTATCAATTATAATAAATTTAAGTGTTGAAAATATTGATTTTCATCCCGTTGGCGAGATATTCCACTTATAATTTTGGATACGGGAAGAGTAGAGGAGCCGTTATGGAATTTATGGCATCACGGCGTGCAGCGTTTCACTAACACCACAACTCTCCCTCTTCCCAAACTTAAAATAAATATAAAATTATCGATAAAATTCGTTCAAAATCCCAAAAACTGCCTAAATTATTTTGTAATTGATTTTATGAATGTGTTCATAGCTTTTCTGATAAAAATGAAAATCTATACAAATTATATGCTCGGTTAAATACTTATAACTAGGACTAGGAATTTTATGAATTTGAATTCCTTTAGTCCAAATTAATTGGTTGTTAGATATGTCCATGATTTCACTTATTCTAAATTAAATAGAACAATTTTTATTTCTCATATATTTGTATATTTTGAACATAATGCATATAATTGCACATTTAGATATTTGGGAAGTGTGTGTATTTTAAAAAGTATATATTTGATGAATGTCTATGATTATTGTTTTATTTATCGAATTATTATAAATAGGCTTAAGGACTTCTAGCTCTAAAAAACAAGTAAACATGCATAAAGATATGCCTTAAAAAAACAACCAAATATACACTAAACTATGTTCTGAAGAAATTGTTTTTATTTTAATTGTATATTAAAAACTGCACGTAAACTAATTAATTTTTTTTAGATTCGGAGTGTAGCCAGAGATCTATTGGTTTTGTATCTATGGTACGTGTTTGTTTTTTTATTTGTTTAGAATCATTTTTTTATAATCTTGCTCCAATTTATCATTAAGTGTACCATATTTTCTGAAAAGGAATTTTATCTAGTTGGTGCATATAAAAGACCATTTTTCGGTTTTCCAAGAGAGTTTTCATAATAAATAAGAAAACCTGGAAAAAAAAATTAGCAGAAAAATAGCAAATATTTACGGCGCTAACGATTTTCTTGTTTTCAATTTTTGCAAACTATGTTTTCTATCAGAAATATTATGCTCCAATAGAAGAACGACAAGAAACTCATATTGTTTCATTTTTCATCTAGTTGATGATTATGAAAGTCCTATTTTGATTAAATACCTAACCCTAGTAATAAATATAAGCTAATATTAGCTTTATCTTGAATTACATAGACATTATTTACTGACGTATGTTGTGAGACAGTAAAATGTAGTAACAATTGATACCAATATCGACTGCATCGATTGTTTTTCATTAGTGCGACTTGTGTTGCCGTGTAGGTATGTAATACATACTATGTATATATTTATATTTGGTAAAAAGAAAACATTTGTTTTATGCATAAATTAAAATGTTTTATTGGATATATATACATTCTAGCTCTACTTATAACTAAAATTTTACTTCTAAAATCTATTAAGTATGTATATTATTATTTAGTTTTTTTAGCATCGATTTCAGCCATATGTTTCACAAAATCCAACATCCTGCAGGCGTAACCCACCTCGTTATCATACCATATGCCGATACTGATCAGATTATCGATAACCTGGATCTGATTGAAGTCCACTACTCCCGAATATTGACAGCTAATAAAGTCCGAACTCACAAGCTTGTCGTCAACGTAGTGTAGTACATCTTTCAGCTCAGACTCGGCTTTATTTGCGATTTCCGTTTTTATCGCGTCCACCGTGGCCTGATTTTCGAAACTGTGTAATGGGACCCAAAGAATAAGCGTAATTACATAATTTGTTGACTTATTAATGTTATCAATAAATATCTGAGGGTGATCGGATCGAAAAAAAATTAGGTACTTAGCGATTGGCTGAATTAGTGGTGAAATTGGATGATTATCCTGTAAAGGCACAGAATCTGAGTGGGATTAGAAGAAATACGATTGAATTATTCTCTCTTACTTCATGTAAAGTTTTAACAAGGACACATTGAGCACGGGAACGCTAGACGCGTCTATGTGAATATTGCATTTTAAATCCGGTAAGGACGAGCCGATCGTTATTGCAGCACCTGTAGAGTCTAATCCAATGTTGGCTACAGCGGATTTCTGAAAATATCAATTGCAAATTCAACAGAAAGCTTTTGCACGCAGAATGTCTCAAATTTTCCGTTCAGCAAAGCCGTACTGAAAATAAAATGATCAGAAGTTCCGACCTCCCCTAACCTTTTTTTCCATCTACAGTATCCCATGTTTTTGTTGTACTTACGAAACCTAATCCGTCGTGTATATGCTGGAAAGATCGCATCGGATGAGTGGTTGTCCCCATACAATTAAGGATGCCGAATTTACTGTGGAGAACCTTCATTAAGGGTGCAGCACTGTTTCCTGTGCTTGACCCGCATGACACCACTTTCATTGTATTTTTGTAACTCTCGAAGTTAACACCTTTGACGAATATCGGGATATCTTTAGACAAGGAAGTAACCAGCACTTTTTTCGCGCCTGCGTTAATGTGTTTCTTGTTTGGCACAAACAAATAGAAACGATTAATAATTATATAGGTATATTTTTTAATGATGGTGGTGCCGTATTTAATATTAAATTCAGTGACGTAACAGGTATTATTTTTTAGCTTTTAGATTCCGAGCAGCATGAGGAATGTAATCGTTATAATACGATGTTGGTGAAATGTTATTGGCTTTTGTTGCATTTTCAATCTAGTTGGTGCATTAGAGAGGTCATTTTTAGATTTTTCTTGTAGTTTCCTTAACAATTGGAATAAAAAACACAGGGAAAACGGAACAGTTTACGGATTACCTACAATGGCCTTTTCTTAATATAGTGCTATTTGTAAAACATTTTGGAGTTTTTGGAAAAATATTTTATAGGCATTTAATATTTTCGAGCTTTTAAGTTTTTATTTGGTTTTAAGATATTATTTGGACAAATTAATTGGCCGAATATAATTGTTGAAAATTGAATACGAAGTTCATTGTAAGTTGTACTGAATGGTGAGAAAAAAAGTTTAACGTTATTTAGTAGTTTTTTTTATAAGCGATTAAATTTAAATTTCAAGGAAAACCATCAAATTACGGAAATTCAAAATATATATAACCGAACTTCGTTAGGAATCTTTTTTTGTTTTCAAAGGTTTATCATTGTATACAGACATAAATTAAACAACGTTATGTATCTAAGTAACTTTATAAAACTATATAGCGGGCTGTAATCGAATTCGCCAATTGATTATTATTATTACAGCTAATTTACTGTATATTTTTTTTTTCTGAACATTAAAAAAATTATTAAAAATCATGGATTTTTGATATGAATGTAGCTATATTATAGAGTCTATTTGTTCAAAAATGTTGACATATTAACTTTTTATTTTTATTAAATTCGTGAGTTTTAATAATTTTTTAAAATGTAGAGAAAAAAGTGTACAGTTAAATAACCATAATAATAATAATAATCAATGAGCAAATGCAATCATAACCTGCTGCATATAAGTAGGTACTTTTTTCCAAACTCTAAAAAATTATTAAAAACTACGAATTTAGTAAACATAAAAAGTATTTTTTTTACATTTTTTCTTTAACTAAAAAATACAAATTTAATTTAAATATAAATATTTTTAGCCTTTATCCTTAAGTAATAATGAAACAAAAAAACAAAATAAAAACGGAATTTGAATATTTTTAATGACTCAGGACATAATGCAAAATCTTCGTAGGGCAGCCGATGTATATTTTTAAACTACCAGTAGCAGGGGTTCTCAAATGGTACTCCAACGACCTAACACCGTTTATTTGAAAACGACAATAATATTAGACCAGTATAAAGTGTTCCAGATAACAATAAAAATTTCGGTTAGATTACCTAAGATTTGTATTCCGTTTTCGGGATGTGATGGGGCGTAATGAAATACACACTTTAGGAGAAATCCCAATTTATAATCTTTCCTGTGCAATACAAAACGCTTGTTTTTAATGGCAACACATATTTTTGTTATACTAGATTTAGATAATTCTATTTTTGTCAAGCAATTTTGATCAATTCATTTTTTTTTATTCCAAAAATTACCTGAGATCATAGAATAACATAAAGGTGGCACTTCTATTGTAAAATTTTCCTACAAATGCATCCAAAATAATTGAATTTGATTTTTTTTTTTTATGTTTAGAGAGTAAAAATAAATGATTTTTGTCTTAACGTAATCGTGATTGTAGTTATAATAATGATGTTGTATTAACATAATTAATCAATTTATCGTGATAATTGATGAAGAATGTATGTTTATTTAATAAACTACATAATAAAAATACTTAGAAAGAACCGGAAAATATACGAAAACAATTGTTTTATTTTTTTTAATTTTGTTCTTTTTTTATGCAATTCAGGTAAAAATATTTGTAGAAACTTGAAATTTGACAAAAAACTTATAATAGCTTTTTCTAGATGTGGTAAAATGTTCTGAGCATTTGAGTCAATTTTGAGATATTTATAAATATTTTAATTGAGATTTTTTAAATAATTTTTATTTGATAGGTACGCTGTGGATAACATTTTTAGACTAAACAGAAATGACTGAAAATTTGACAGAAGGTTCTTTATAAGTCATACAAGTGGTAAAAAAAATTGAGTGTAATGTAGTATTTATTTTTTCGTAAGACTTTTTATGATCTATTTCAAGACCATCTTTAAAAAAAAAAATTTTATTCCAAAAGTAGCCAAACGTCATTTTTAAGGTTATGCAATTAATATTTTTGAAAATCATTTTTTTTTCAACAAACTTAAAATAGCTGTACCTCAAGTAATCTGAGACAAAAAATATCCCTCAGTTTGTTAAATAAAATAGAAGTATTCTAATCTAATGGTGTTAAAACTATGAGTTTTAAATTGTATATTTTAGTACCAATACTTTCACCTACCCAAAACGGAATTCAAATTCTAAGTGATCCAGCTGAAATGTTACCTGAAAACGTCACATAGTGTAAAATCACACTATATAATAGCCAAAGGTAATATTTACCATGGCATCTTTCTCTTCATTGCATTTTCCTGTCACATCAATCACGTAGTCGATCGGCACTGTTTTCCATGGGATTTTCTCTAGAGTTGCTTCGTGAAAAACTTTCACGAGTCTACCTGCAGTTTACCGAAGTAACAAACGCGTTAGAGATTTAACTTGATTGTTAATTAAATTTGTTTTAATTGTTTTTACCGTCGATACAAAGGTTTTTGTCGTGTATTGTGACTACTTTACTAAACGGCCCGTGTACCGTGTCATACATCAATGCTTTAGCCACTGCCTTTATGTCGACTGACGGCTGATTTACAGCAACGATCTTTAAAATAAGAATAACAAAATTATTCAATATTGTATGTTTCCATTATTATTGTTCAAGTTTATGTTTTGAAATATTTTATTTTGATTTGTAGTAAAGAATAGGTTCAAGTTCGATTAACATTAATGACCATGATAAAATATTATCAATAGCATTATGTTTGAGGATATTGGACATTTAAAGTTTTCTTTAGAAAAAATTAAACTACTGGTTTTTATATTTGGAGTGGAGTAAGGGATCTATTGGTTTTCCTACGATATGTTCTACCAAAAATTTTACTTCAATTTAAAAATGATAAGTGGTTGATTTCGTTCTGTTTAATATTAAGCCACTAAAAATAAAGCCATTTCTTGATATCTAAAGTAGTTTTCATAATAATTAGGAAAAACCAAAATAGACGAAAATACGATTTTTTTAAATTACGATCCAATGATTTCGTTATTTCAAATTTAACATAAGATAGATTATAAGTTGTACTTGGTGGGGTAGAAAACAAATTTTAGTTTAATGTATCAATTTTTTTTCATAAGTTTCAAGACGAAAATTATAAAAATTACGGTACTTCAAAATATATCTTACCAAACTTCGCTCCGAATCGTTTTTCTTTGGCAATGATTTATCTTTGCATACAGATATAAATTAAATAACTTTATGTAAATAACTGTCTTGACTTCGCACTTACAGCAGTGGCTACACCCATCTCAGTTTCATCTCTTTTTAATTTTGTTTTATCTAATTCGAGCTAATGACGTTCATCATTATGATATGCAAATAACACTTATACCAAAAAAGTGAAAACTTAAATAAAAAGTCTGTGAGGTATTAACAATTTTCCCAAATAACCAAAATAGTCCAGTGAAAACCTATATGGTAGATTGGAAACATTCATTTACAGGGAATAAGAATAAAGTAAAAATTATATTTTAAAGGTTTAATTTTCTCGATATTTAAAATTGTTTATTGAATTATATTCCTGTTTTTTTCCTGGACAGCTAGTAAATCTATTGGCTATACTCATCTGGTAATATAGTATTATTCTATATATATAATTATAGTGATTAGTATTTAACGTAAAATGTTTAGTTGTCATGTTAAGTCAACAAATGAGCGTTACAGACGGAAAGATTACAGTATTATAACATACTTATGATGTCTTTTCAATAAGTCTTTGGAATACGAATATATAAATACGTATATTTAAGAAAATAAATATGGTATAAGTCGTATTATACTTACGTTTACGTTGTTTTTGAAGGATTCCCTAAGCACAGACTTTCCAATACGACCAATTCCATTAATAGCGACTTTAGGACCGTTGCAAATCGTGCGCGAAAACACCACATGCTTTAATCCTTTATGCACAGTTAACAAAGTGTTTTTAAACATTTTCTTTATCACAGTTTACGACTTCAAAAAACAATTATTTTTGTTTTAAAAACTCTTAGCGTATTATGTTATTATATTATGTATAATATATTTTAAACTATTCGTTTGTTATAATAATAAGTGAAGGTATTATTACGTATCCTTAGTAGCCATTTGTTTAATTAATTTATACTTATAGTATATAAATAATACTATAATATATTATCAGAGGATTCAACCAGATCAGCGGTTCTCAACCTTTTGAAAACTGCCATTCCTCCTAAGAAGTAAAATATTATATCCCCCCCCCCCCAATAAAATAAGAACAAAAAAATAATGTACGTAAAAAATTTAAAATTTAAATATAATGTTTAACTAAAATTATTGGATACAATTCAAGTGGATAATTATAATTTTTTTGTTAAATAATTCTACAGATCAATAAGATGGTTGTACTTGGTGATTCAAAGCCAACTTTTTTACGTTTGGTTAAATGAGATGGAGGTATAAGTCTTCTACTTTTATGATGTTGAATCGATTACTTTTTTTGTAATTCGTCTCTTCAGCGATCTGAATTCTCACTCAGTGAAGTATGGGAAGTAAGGCAATTAATAATTAGTCTACAATAGTTCACAGTCCAGGATAGATTCAGCTGATGGTATATTGGAGCTAAAATTGTATGAAGTGTTCACCACCCTTAAATCTGGCTTTTAGCATCTCATTTGTTGAAAGTTCGATTAATTCTCCTTGATTCTATATTTTTTCTGTTTCAATATTTAAAGAGGCATTTACGATCTTTTGAGGAACTTTCAGGAACAAAAGTTCTTTAAAACTCCCTAAAAAATCCTTATTTAAAGATTTAAAGTATTGACAGAAAAATAATGTCATTAAAATGATTTTATTGTTCTCGCGTAGATCTGACAAGATTGGAAACTGGCTGAACTCGTTCCGATCAAAATTTTGCTTCCACAATGTTAGTATTTTTTAGGACGGTAGAATTAGTAGAATTTGTTGTTATCTATTTGAGCTCGTCTTAAGTTGCAAATTAATAGGAATATTATTTTCTTTATGGAACTTCCCCAATTTAGCTATTAATTTTGATATATTATAAAAGCTATTATACCGTTGTTACATTGTGTTGAAAAAGTAGTGAGTAAGCCTGAGACCAACAGCGCCTTAAAAAAATTATCGTAAAAACAACAAATGTTTATTTTGTTTGTTAGGGTGAAGTTTTTGAAGATGCTCCTGCAAACGCGACGGTTTCATTGTCTTGTTAGATAATACTATCGTATAAAATATGTCATTAATTTTTACAATACCATTATTATTATTTTATAATAGAATATACATCCAATGGTAATATTAGGTAGATAATTTTACGATTTCAAAATTGTACTTAAGTACTTTGTACTTTTTTTTCCGTGTCACAACCGTGTCTATTATCTGTCTTAAAAACGCATGACATTAAATTTGCGTTCAGTAAGAGGAATTTTGTTTCGGTTTAATTATAAGAGTAAATTGACTCATTACCAAAATTAAAGGTGAGAATTTTATTTTAATTTTTTAAATAAGATAAAAGTATTTTTAAATATTGAGATATTTCACATATTCATTTCTCGTTACGTAGGGGACACAGATAATGTTATCTGTGTAAGCAATATTAAGTTCGATAATTAGCCGATTCACTCTAATATTAAAACTAACAGAAAGACATTTGTATTACCGAACACAACTTTACTATGCGGTGTAAGATAAAAACAGTAAATGGGGATGGGTCTTTCTCTAAATAATTAAGATTAAAAAATAAGGAAAATATTTAAACGTACGCATAATAACAAATAGTTACGTGCATATAAGTATATTGTAGTGGTTTATTATTATTATTAAAATACGTTGGTTTACAAAATTTATAAACGTAGATAACTATACTAAGTTAATACTAATTTGTGTTAAAAATAAAATAGATATTCAAATTATATTTTACGTATTATAATAGGTATTCAAGCAAACCGTATAATATGGCTGTAAGTATGAGATATATTATGTTTTTCGTATATTTGATTTTGAAAATAAAATTTTAAAAATGTATTATGTATAAAAAAAAAATCGTTGAATGGTATAAACCTAATATTTATTGTATACAAAATAAACTATATAGTTGATTAGATTAGACTTAATCATATTAAAGAATACCTAATTTAATAAATTGCTGCATTGAAAAAAAAAGCACATTTGTGTTTAAAATATGAAAATAAAAATATCATATATTTATAACTATAAATATATTAGTATGGAAACTGTAAAATAATTAAAAACATATATATATATATATATATATATGTATAACAAAATATTAATTAACTAAGTTAAATATATTTATGGTACCTATATAATATTTTATACGAATGTTTAAATATTACGATAATACATATCTATCTATACTCGGTTTTAAAGTTTATAAAATAGTACAAAAAAAGAAAAAAGTAGCCATTTTAAGAGGACGTCAAACATACATTTGACAATTCTGCTCGCAAAAAAAATGCGTTTTTGTACTTCTAATATAATACTATACTATTTGTCACGTTGAGTATGATTTCGTTTTAATAAGATAAATTTTAAAAATTGGAAAACAAATTTCAAAACAAAAAAAAAACCTATTCCGTAGGCTTTTAATAAAAGTTCTCGCATTTATTTTGGCACCGAAATTAAATATTTATGCGACCAACGAGTCCCACATGAGTATATACTAGTGGAAGTACGAAAGCACTGCATTTTTGATATATTGCCCGTTATGATAATAGACAGAGACGGCGAAATATGCTGGTTTGACGTCCTAAAAGTATACGAAATAATATACTTGTGTAATTAACAATTATTTTTATTTTAAAGTTTTTGTTTTTGTTTTGTTTTTTTGTTCGTTTTAACAATACTATATGCATTAATTAGATAGGTGCTAGAAGACTATATAATACATTGGTGAGGATCATTTTATCGTTAACAATAAAATTGAATTGTCGAGGTAAATATAGTTATTGATCTCAAATTAAAGTTCCTTATTGTTCAATATGGAATCGGCGGTTGTATTGCCAGTGACGGCTGACAGTACTGAACCGAAGCACAAACGAATGATGTTGATCAATCCTATACCGAACGCCACAATCGTATCGGACCAGCTGAATAACGTCCACAACAGTAAGCCGAAAAACAATATTTTCGCTACTATATCGACACAGTACATTCTGTAAAAATCATTTAAACGATAATCATATTAATAAATCGAATGATAACAAAAATATTACATTAATCGTAACAATTAACTTTTTCAAAAATTTGGAATCCATAATAATATACGATAAATCGTTTTATAAATGGATTTGGTGTTTTTACTATTGTAAAATAGTTCTTCGGTTTTTCACGACTTTCATCTCCCACGTTCAATAATTATTATCTATATTATATTATCTATTATTTGAAGAAATCTTGCTGGTTATCCTTTTATTGAACACATAAAAAATTGGTTTTTTTTTTAGAATAAACAAGTTTTTTTATTTTGCTTATTATCACAATGATATGCTGCACAAATAAAATACTGAGAAAAATATTTATGTAACATACATTACCAACTATGGTATTATTAAATCTAGACAAAACGAGACAGCTTTTTATATTTTAAAATTGATGTGTGTTTTTTTTAAGATAAATGCTCAAATTGATTTATTTTTAAACTTCGCGGACTTTAGAATTTTGAATTCTAATAATATGTATAATTATATATTATCAGGAGCCAGGGTTTTGTCAATGAGGGGGGGAGGGTAAAAAAAAAATAACTTGCCCCGGAGTGCTAGAGCTTTTAAAACTATGTGGTGCATGGCTGAATATAAAACTCGAAATAGTCGATTTATTTTCAAACGTGTTTTGTTTAGAGTAATAAAAATACTGTTTGCTAATTAGAAGTGTAGCCTAGTAACTTAAAGTATGTGTACATGAAGAAAAAATATTCAGGACTAAGAAATACGCTTATTTTATGGAAGTAAAATGTTGAAATTTGAATATGGATTTAATAATATTGCACAAAAAGAACAACAAATAACTTAACATAGATCTGAGAATACTTCGCATAAAAGAAATAATTAAAAAATTTCCGTTTGATGATTTTGTGAATAGGTGTACGATGAGTTTTTATATTTTTTTCTATATTTTAAGATCATTTGAATAACCTAAAATTTAAAAAACTTACATTTTCATATGGATCCTAGCTCTGGGTAGGGTGTCTGGCATTTCTTTTAATATATAAATTCTAGCGGCCATAATGCAATCTCTGAAATAACTTCTGATATCCATATCATCTCCATCGACCGTATACTCGAATTTCTCTCGTGCGTTCATAACCCTTCTGATGTAATGGACGTGTTCATTTCTGAACTCCCATTGATTGTTTGCGTAGTATTCAAAAACCTCGAATCCTTTGTTGATTCTGTCTTGAATGCGCACTAGACTGAGATAAACATTTAATAAATAATTTAAGAATAAATTATTAATGACTGTTAAAGTGATGTGTATACTAAAAATTAACAATAATAATAGTAGTCATATTTGGGTCTATACTATGGACTCTGTCAGTAAATATCTACTGAACTTCTATTCTCAAATTATTATAGAACTGAGGTAAACATTTAATAAATTATTAATGACTGTTAAAGTGATGTGTATACTAAAAAATAACAATAATAATAGTAGTCATACTTGGGTCTATACTGGGGACTTTGTCAGTACATATCTACTGAACGTCTATTCTTAAATTATTATAGAACGCAGTAAAAATCCAATACAAAAATTTGAACACAAAAAAACATCTATAGAAATGGCCTGGTCATATATTATAACTATTATTATATAATATTAGTTTTTTTAATATATATATATATATATATATACATTCAATATGCCTATAGTAAAATATATGGACGTTTGATGTGTACTCAATAAATAAGCTAAATAACCAGTCAGTGTTTGCCAAAAAAAAAAAACAAAATAAACATTATAGGGTCACTTATGCGCTGGATGTTTTATCGAAATCATTCCCATTTTTATTTGACGCCACATTGGAGCGACAGTCATTCGAATTTATATTTTTTAGAAATCGTTATTTTAGACAAATGTTATACATATTATTACACTCGTTTTCGTCATATCAAAATGTTGTGTAATAATTTATTTTATTTTTTTTTTTTGCGCGCGCGCATCGTTTAATCCTAAAATAACTTAAATCCTGGCCATTAATTCATTTAGAATTATATAATGGTAAAAATGTTCTAAATCGTGCAGACAAATGAGCAATCACTAAGAAAATATGAGATACGTCTTGCAATTAAAAGTGTTTTATCAACAGAGAAGTTATCTACACGATTAATCTAAATATTAATTGTTTGTCTAATATAACGTTCTATAATTTTAATATAATTACGTTTTAAATGTACCTGAACCTTTTCGTTCTCATAATTATAACTTTAAATTTTATTGGTTTTGTTTTTCATCGTTCACTAGGTTATTATATATTCATAGAAGTTGTTGATTTCTAGTTTTCCCCATAATTAGAACTTTTCGGGTTACACACAATGGGTTACAATTTGACTTATAAAGTATTTGAGTAAAAATATTCAAATAGATACAAAATATTTGAGTATGTATTTCAATTAATCCTACTAAAATGTCTTATTGTACTTTAAATATTTTTTAAAATGAACTATGTGTGTTCAAGAACCGAATACATATCTAAAATACTTTCATAATTATTCTAGAGTATTGGTTTAATAATATTTATCCTTTTCCTTTTTTTTTTTTTACTTTTTTTCCATTTTTGTTTAAACTGTATATATAATTTATCCTAGAAATCTTGCTCCAATCAAAACATATAATGACATCTTTTTTGTTACATTCTGGCTCTAGTTGGTAATTTAAAACGTTATTCATTTGAAATTCTTATTAATATTCGAGACAATGAGGAAAACCGATTGTTTAGGTACAATAAGAGATGCCAAATTAAGAGTAAGGTTATCATTGGCAACCGGTTTTAATTATATTTTTTATTAAGTTTTTATTATTTTATATTTGCATATTTTTTAAACAATCTTTATAAAAACGAACATTGTTGAAAAAACAATCCTTTTGACTGAGTTCTGTTCAGAGTCTTTATTCTTCAGCAATGATTAATTGTTAATTACAGATATAAATTTAATTCTCTATATCCTACCTTGAGACAGTTCACTGGTTAAAAAGTGATAGTTTTATAATTTTAAAATTGTTTTTGATACTTCAAATTTAAGTGCATCATGTTACATCATGTTGAAAATGAAATTTATTCAACATTTTAAGTAACATTGCTTATACTGGTATTAAATTAATATTATACTAATGGTACATATATAAAATAATAACGGATTGAATAATAACGATTTTTCTTATGTAAAAAAAAGTACTTGAAAGTATTTATAAATGCTTTTCTAAAGTGTCTGTATCCATATCTAATCAAATATATTTTAATCAATTACTGAAATACGCGTTTTGTAATCATGTTCAAACAATATCTGTATTTGTTTTCAACATTTTTGTTTAAAAATAATTTGATGAGTCTGATTACAATATTAGGGCTCTATTTGAAAATAGGTTGATATTTTATTGACTGTCTTACCATGGTTTATTACCGGACATGAATATAATCGCGTCTAAAAAGTAAGCCGGTATTGTGTGCATGAAAAACACGCATATGTTGTGCAAAAGTTTGCTACTTTTCATGCTGCCTCCTGGATACCATGCGGCGCCGTTTAACGGTACTTCGTTGACTACGATACTTTTGCCAATGTCAATGATTTCTTGCCATGTTACTCTCCATTCTTGACTGGAAGTCAAGTGACAGATCTGTCTGGTTTTATCTCTGAAAAATAACAACATAGTTGAAAACATAATATACATTTACAATAATGTTATTTTTTGTTTACTCCCGTATAAAAATATTGTTGATAATCTTTTATTTTATTGAAAGCTGTCGAAATATTCGATAAATAATGCATAAATATCAAGTCGATAAATATTCGACTAACATATGCATTTAATTCTTTTTTTTGTTTCAAAAACAAACAAATTGTTTGTATAAACAAAATTAGTAATGAGTAATTATTTGTACAGTAATTAATATTAGAAAATAGACAATTTCATTATTAATTATTACGAAATGTTGTATTTATCTATATGAAAATATGACAATTAAAAATTAGGGATTTTGATAAATGTTTAAATAAAAATTAACTACGGTTATGGGTGAAAATAAATAATAAAAATTCATAAAATTATTAGTTTGAAGAACTTTTGGAAGGCTGTCTTGATACTTTTTCTCTTAACATAATTTTCAAAATTAATTACAGTGTCTTAACATTTTTAATTTTCTCTGTTACTTGTTAAAATTGATTGTAAACTGCCTGCCCTGCTCGGCCTATTTTTATTTTTTTTGCCCATATTCCTTTTTGGTTTCGACCATGTCAGTAATGAATAAAAACAAATAAACGAAAATTTGTAGTCTACCTTCGGTGGATTTAAAGTATTCTGTTATGATATATATTTTTAAATTTTAAATTATTATTTGCCTTAAGCATTAAATATTTCTGGACACAGTACGTTAAATGTCTCACCTTTTGGGGCCAGCACGAATAAATTTGTTTTGCACGTAACACGTGACAGAGCCACGTACAGTAATTGATCATGGGAAAAATATTGGACAATTAGGTCTAACCCAGCAACATTTAATGTTTGACCTTGTATGTTATTGTTAGTCATTGAAAAATAGTTTCACGGGAAATTGGTGCCGTTTAAACTGGAATGGTAGATTGGTTGGTATCATTGGTATTCTAGGAACTAAGACCGGTTCCTTAGCTCCATAGCCAGTTAGAATCATACACTCCAGCAAGCAGTTTTAAAAATTTTATTTGAAATTTTGTGTTCTTATTAGTTACCATAGATCCCATAGATCTAGGATAACTAACCTTACGGTATCGAGTTCAAATCTCAGATATCATTATAATTTGTGCTAAATATATTATTGAAAAAAAAAAAAAAAAATACAAATCAACAAACATGGCAGATTAACCAATGGTAACCAGTATACTATTATTATTTTAATCTGCAATTAATAGCAACCATATAAAAAACAAAAATATATAAATAAAATAATAAAGTAAACGCATTGATTCATTTATTTATTTAATTTTTTTTTAATTTTTATATATAAATGTTTTATTTATTTATTAATTTACTATATTTATTTATTGAAAATATATTATTATATTTGTCATTTAATCACCACCACACATTTCTCTCAGAACCGCAACTTTATAGGACTAAATTTACGTCTAAGAACATGCTCCGCGATGTCTTCTTTAATTTAAAAAAAGAGATTAATGAAATCGGTAAATATGTTCTTAAGTGATGCCGTGACATAGGAATAGGGTCCATTTTTATATATAGAGATTATAATGTATTTTTAATCTTAACTCATTTCTTTTTGGTATTTAATATAATTTTAAAACAATTTAAAACGACAAATCGTTATTAGCTAATAAATTACTGTATTAAATAATAAAATAATAAAGTAAAAACAAAATTATTGAAATGGTTAATGCTCATAAATAAATATAGTAAATAAATATTTAAATAAAACATGTATACATTTATTTACAATATTTACTATATTAATTTTAAATACATATTATAATTGTATCTACATATAAACATCTCAAAATATACGAAAATGCGAAAACAAAATATTTTGATTATTGAATTCATTAGAATGAGATTTAAATATGTAACTCATCTATCAAATGTTTTTTTTTATGCTATTTCGCATAAATAAGTTGAAGCAAAGGGAAGTAATAATTTCTGATCATGGTCACCGACAATACTAGACATATTACGTTGTATAAAATAACATGTATACATATAACTTTCATTTGGTGTAAAATTATTTGCGACCCTCTAATAAAAATTTCGCAGCCTACTTAAGGATTTCGGACCCCCAAGTTCCGCACCTTTGATATAGGTAATAATGTAAAATTTGTTAACATAATGAATTATAACGTTTTTTTCTTTGTTATTTTTTTTTTTTTTAACACAATACGACATCGTAAGAATAAACCAAAACCATGAGGACAGTATTTCTTATATTATGACAATGAGTTTTATTATTTTAGTTTATGTATAATATTATAATAATATAATAATATTATGAATTATGTGTTTTGACTGACACGAAAAAGAAAATGAACACATTTATAATATAATATCTAATTATTAAACATGTAATACATAGGTGCGTACAAATTGTTTGTTTAAATAATATGTACAATATTAAGAGGCTCAATGCCGGTTTTAATGACTCTTCCACCGGATCTACCACCCGATACTCATTTTAAAGAAAGGAGAAATATCAATATTCTACAACCCGTCTTTAACTCCGGTTTTTTTATTTGATTATAATATTAATAATAAAAAATAAATTTTGTGAAAAATTCGGTTATTTAAATAACTCGTTCTGAGCTGTCAGTTAAAAAAATTAAGATATGATATTACGACCAGATGAATTTCCTCGTGTATGTAAATAATGCAATAATTCAATCGAAAACAAATTTCTAAAATCTTTTCAAAATCATATTTGTTTTTTCGAAAACTCGGAGAAAATTAAAACATACAAACATTAGAATAGGTATTATAGATATTACGCATTCACACTCACTTGTTGCCGATATAATTCCAAGTGAATAATAAAATACCGTTGACGGTTATGTCGACCGGTAAGTAATCGGCGTAACCACTGTTGTCGCAGTACATCGTTCGGATGACACCTTTGCCTGCGCCGATCAACAGGCCTGTTGGACCGTTGATATTGTCTGTCCAGCCCGGTAGAGGCTCTTTCCAAACCGGAATTACTGCGATATAAATACAAAATGATAAACCATTATCAATTTAAATTTTTAAATTTTAAACAAAAGTTATTGACATTTTTTATAATCTTTGATGCAATTAATCTACACATCTTTCTTCTAAATCGAGCTTTTCAAATTTTTTTTCTGTACAAACTTAACATGCATATGTTCTCATTTATGTGTAGAACCAATTTCACCTAAAATGGATATGATCTTTTTGGTTTGGGGTTTGGTTTAATTCTTAGAAGATTTATTCACCCCTTTGCACTTTGTGGCGTCTATACCTTTTGTGCTTGGGGATTACGAAAATTAAAAGGGAGCTATGTATGTACAGGTTCGCAGTAACTTCTCGCACTTTGGGTATTCGGATTTTTATTTTTGGAAGAACGGGTTTTATCATTAGCACCTTTTTAAGTGAGTTTTATTTCCACAGTTAAAGACTTTCTGTAACGAAAATTGCAAACTAACATCGCTATACTAATAATGGAAAATGAGTATATCTATACTTATGCACTTAATTTTCGAAATATAAAAAGACATATTATTTATACACTCGTAAAATTGGGTTTATGGTTCATGTTTATATCTATGCACGTAAGTTATTTTTATTCCACCATAACTCTTAAACTTTTAAACTGATTTAGATGTTTTGTAAGATATGTATGCATGTATAATATATACACATCAATCGTTGATGTATCGATGTATGTATATCGGTTGGCCTTGATGGATTAACGCTGAAATCGTAATAGGGTATATAGACAAATTCGATATCAAGGACTTCAGTCCGTCACTGGAGTAAAAGATGATGGCAGCTTCTTTGTACCAGACGATTTTTCTCACCTGGCAAACGGAGTGTCCATGACCGAGTGTCGATCTAACAGCAGAGACCGATAAACATGGCCTTTTATGATACTAGTAAAAATATTAAAACAGTATTTCAAGAATAAATTTTCAACTGTTTAACCGTATAACTTATTATATAATTAATTATAGTCCTCTGGGATTCTTGTTCGATAAAACGTCAAACAATTTCATATCACTTACTTCAAAAATGCCGAATATATTTGAAACTACATTGTTATGGTTGAAGAATATCTAACTTAATTTGAATCACCGAAATTAATTTGATATATTTTATCAAATTATTGTAATATTAAATAATTGCCCAACTTCTCCACCCCCCTCACCCCATTCAGTTTACTCCACTAAACGATGAATGTATTTACATACATTCCATAATATTGATATTATTATTATTATATACTAACCGATTGACGGACGGGCAATGAGACAAGGCAAACCAGCTTTCATTTGTTCGACGACCAAATGTTCGGACAGACATTTTGTGAACGCATACGTGTTCGGGAAACTGCCGAGTATCCTGCAGTAATGAACATAAACAGCGGTGAAATAATCTAAACAAAGAATTTAACGTTGATGTATTTAAAATAAAACCTACTGTTTAGCTATGGATTCGACAAAAGGTTCCTCCAACAGTTCCATGATTTGAATGATTTTGTGCGGGTCGACCGGTGGCGGATACGCCTTTTCGAACAAAACTTTTTCGTCCAGATGACAGTAAGACGTCGACACGTGCATGAATGCCTGCAGTCAGAATATTTTTTCGAATCGGGTTTTAGAAGGTATATTATAATTATGTATAATGATATAACATAATATATACATAGGAGGTTATCGGTTCATTCGTTTATAGTTTTCGCATGGCCTGCTGCAATATACAGTTAATGTTCTAAATTATGCAAGTACCCATTATTTATAGTAAAATTAAATAATATAATAGGTGAACATTAATTTATTATATGTTTCGACAAGTTATTTAACAAGACGAGAATGCCTTAAAAAAAGTTGATGCTGCTCATGAGTAGACCACTGTTATATAGGTAGGTAATTGGGAAAGTAAAATGTAGAGGGTAATTTAGCCTATACACTGTATACTCTATATACAATGATAAATTGTTGCGAACAAAAAATTACGATTACGAGCTGGGTAGTAATAATAGTATTAGTATTAATAGTCGTATTTTTTTGTCCCGTAACCAAGATAATTCAGAAATCAATAAAAATAAAACGAATGTATCAACATTTGTTGTTAGATTTTGTTTAACAACAAAATTTGAATTTTTATTTTATAGTAAAATTATTTGAAATCTAGACATTTTTTCAAATGAAGTAACATCAGATCAAAAATACGCTTCTTTTAACGTAGATAAAAAACAAATCTGAGCATTTTTACTAGCCAAAAACGAATTTTTCGAGAAAACAAATAAATCATATTAACACTAATCGCTTTATCCCTGTACTGAATATCTAAAAAATGTTTTAAATATTTAATAATTTATTAAATATTATATTTATAATTTATTATTTATTTAAGTATTTTTTTTGAAGTGTCGACACATTTTTTTAAAACTATCGTAGTAATTGTATGTTTTTTTTTTTTTTACTATTGAGAGCATCAGAATGAATTGTAAAAAATATTTTGTATTTGTAATTTTTTTTTATATCTATTTATTTTATTCTATTTATGCAATAATGATCAAAAATATAGTTATTTGACATTGAAATATAACTTTTTGAAAAATATATGAAAAAAGAAAAAATGAAAACGAAATCATTTTCAGTTCGATTTTTTAATACGAATAATAATTTTAACATCACCTGTGTTAGAGTTATATAAATATGCTGTCCGACTCTATATAATGTCCATCGCCTAAATATTTACGATATTTTAAAACAAAAATAGCCGTTAACGTAAACATTTTCACATGGCAAATATAAATTTGTTTGTATTCTAAATTAACGGATTAAAATAGTTGTTTGGGAAAAATAAAAATAAAAATTGGACACATAAACGTCGAAATTTGGCCGTAGCCATTTTCTTCCAGTACTAAAATAACAAACGGCCACTTCCTTAATAATTTATATCCTACCTTTATAAATTATTTATATTCGGCCAAGATTATTTTTCTGAACATTTATTTTTTTGAAACCAAGACTGGATACTAATAAGTCAATATGTTTTTGTCGTTTGTCTTATGTATTATTATAGGAATATTTCTTACCGTGGTCTCAAAGTTGATATTTTTTGTAACTGTTATAATATGACGTGCTCCATCCGAATCACGTGGTATGTAGTCAGCTTTAAATCGTTTTTAATATTCGGAAAAAAAGTAGACATTGTATACTTCAATACTTGAAGTTCAAGTCCAAAGAAATGTTTGGAGGAAAATGGAAATTATCTACTTTTCTTTTATTGAGAGAGAGAGAAAACTGGACAGTGGAAGAAAACGGTAGGTACCTATCTCATTCTTGGAGGAAAATTCGATCCAAATCTAAATTTGTTCACGTTAATCATACATAATAAGTCTTCTCAAACTTCTCCACTAAAAATTATTTATTACTTTTCGGTACACAAAATAATATTTTAATCTGATAGCAGTGTTATAAAAATGAAATTGGAGTTTTTTTTTTCTAATTTGACGACATTGTTACTGACCTCTAGTTGTTTCATTTCTTTGGCCAGTTCCAGTACGAGTTTCGTACCTCTGGTATTGAGCAAAACGGCTTTTCTCAGTGACTCGTCGAAACGGATTGTCGCGGCAGCGTGGTAAACAATCTGGACAGTGTCGGCCAATAGTTGGCGGTCTGACTCGCTGATGGCCAAATTCGATTCGGTTACGTCTCCGGCGATTGCAATAACTTTGTTTATCACTTCTGGGCCGTGCATTTCCTTCACTAAGTCGAACAACTAAAATGCACACGACAAAAACGGACGGTTGTTAGAATTGTAAAGTTTCCAATTGACGGTTTCGAATTGATATTTTAAGAAATAATATTCTTATTGACATCATTAAAAATATAAGGTAGGTATATAGAGTAATTTTCATTTAAATCCTGGATGCGGCCATAAATCATGCAGAAATTAAAAATAATAATTAAAAAAATACGATTCTGAGCTCGGTTAAACTTTTCTTTTAGTAAATTCTAATCTGTAAAAACAAAATGGTTGCGTTAACGAAAAAATTAAAAATTAATAATTAATAATTATATGCAATTTTTACGAATTTCGTCAAAATCTTATCTTTAAACGCTTTTACAAAAATATCGTAACGTAATTATAGTCGATATTATTTACGTAGCCAAAACTAAAAAAACTCGATAACTTTCTGATCGATTCTAAATGTAACGAAAAAGTTCCTATGAAATTCCCAATTACGAACGATCCAGTTTACAAGGCCGAAAGTTGTTCACTAAACAGACATCATAGTTATAAATGCGTATTGTTACTTTTTTTATAAACCGACGCGCGTTTAATTAATACAATTTTATTTTCCGATATATTTAACGGTTACTCCCCCTCCATCTATCAATTATTAATATAACTGTTATATTCCGTTCAATTAACAACAATAATAATGAAAAAAAATTAGAAGTAAAATAAAATCTAAAAAAAAATTATAAAATTATAGCGTTTCGTATACAGGCAAAGACACGTGTATAAAATAGCAGTGTGTGCATGCGTCACCGATTGTCACCACAATACGAACGGCTCTGGACTTCTAGTGCCAAAATTGTTTTAAGTGGACCAATAGTTCCTATTTATAAAAGATACTCTCATTAGATTTTTATTAGATTCTCCGAATGACAATTCACGCCGTATAATATTATAATAATATAATATGAATAGAGTACGCATATACGACGGTGTTAAAATGGTTTAAAATTTAATCATTTAAAAAATGTATATACTTTTTTTAAAAAAAACATCATAATAATTGTCCATGCAACGCACAAACAAAATAACTGATAAAGTGATGAGGATTCAAAATCGCGTTTATAATATATTCATTCGATAATTTAAAAAACGGTTTGACGTTCTTAAACCGTTTTAAAGTGTTTACATGACGAGATTAAGTTTTATTTTAAAGCTGTGTCGTAGCCAGACATTTTTTAGGGGGATGTTTTTATTTTTTGTTTGTAAGTAACTTATTTATAACTTCATTGTGTACATATAACACACATATAACATAATATACATAATATACATTATACTCAGTGGCGGATTTACAGGGGAGTAGGTCCGGAAATCTAATGCATAACTGTATATAGTATAAATTATATTTAATAAATATAAGATATATATTTATAAGTTATAATTTTTGGCATAAATATGGTCAAATGGGGGTGTTTGAACACCAAAACTCCCCCTCTCGCTACGCCACTGTTTTAAAGACCGTTTCATTGCGTACCCCTGAAAACCGTTTATTCGTGATTTGTTCCTGCATAATAATAATATTATAATATAGCTATATCTAATGAATAATCAAATACGTGTAAATACGTAATAAAAAAAGATAGAAAAAAAAAGTAAAAATAAAAAATAATTTAAAAAAAAAAAAAATATTAAAAATCTAAAACCGAATAATTGAGATGCATAATAGCTGCGATACCTGCACTACAACAAAAGTAAATAATAGTAATTTACATTTCATGGTGAATATGACCTGGTACCGGAACTGCACACGGCACTTACCACGGACGAAAAAATAGTGTCTATTCTTTGTTTCGGATTGCTGCCTTTTTTCGTTCTGAGCAGTAAATAAATTCTCTCGACGTTCGGACATTTCCTCAATAGCTTCTCGACTAGAACTTTACCAAGAAATCCCGACCCGCCGGTGATGAATATCGTTTTGCCGGCGAAACTCTCGGAAACGCGATCGGGCAGGTGTCTCAGTTCTTCCGGAACCTCCGCCGGTTTGTAATTGAGGAAATTTTTTTCGAACGAAGCCAATTCTAAAATTATAAAACGAAAAAAAAACCAACATATAAATAAATAATAACATTGTATAAACATATAATATAGGTGTTTGAATATACGTTTGGATACGACGTCATTAAGTCATTATTAAAAAATAAAAATACGATTCAAACATGTCGTAGTTTAGGCAGACGTGGATCCAGTGCAAAGATCTAAGGAGGGGGGGCATTGATTTTTTTACAGCACAAATACGATTAAAATATAATATAATATATTATTTTATCATACCTATCAGTGATTAGAATAAAGTAATATCAAGATCATAGAATAATAAAAAATATCGGAGAAATAGTATGTCTAGGGAAAGGGGTGGGTCCTTAGGCTCCCCTGGATCCATCCCTGAGTTTAGGTGTATTGAAAATATTATTATTAAATTAAACATTAAACGGCGGGTATAGTAATAATTTCAATATAATTGTGTATTTTATTAATAGTTGTTATATTCGTAATTATTGTTCAAGATTTAATACGCGTAAGGAATATAGTGAAAGGCGCTCTCTGAATTCATTATCAAGCTTCAAGGTTTTAAAACAAAATGCAAAATATGTGCTAATATGATTTACGCGTGGCGGCAACAGTTGGCTTTATTACGGGTATAATACAGCTAAGCCCGCTGTAATCATTATACTGACGGATAAATATAACATTATATAATTAAATAATTACGAATTATTCACGAAAAGGTGCCATCACTACGAATCAAATTATTACAATTGATTATCATTAATCAATTAATAACGAACATGGATATTTTCGTATAATTTTATCCACACTATACATTTATAAATAACACGTTATAAGTTGCAGGCTTGTTTCGTTTTGTGTTTAGTATAACTATTATAGTATAAAATACTGATCGTTTCGCATTAATACTATAATTTTGTAAACGTTATGTATACGAGTGGTATAGTCGATATTATTATAACAGTTGGTTAAAATTGCATTAAAAAAAAAAAAAGTATAAATTTATAAATATAATATACATAGTATGTATACTAGTGATTCAAATAGAGGATATAGACAAATATAAAGACAAATGTATATAAAAAAAGGCATCGTTAGTAAGTTTAAAATATCTGACAAATTTTGCATGACAAAAAAATAATCTGTACTTGACCAAATCATTGAAAAAATACATTAAAAATTGACCAAAATTTAAGTATAAATGGATATAAAATACAATTTTAAGTCAGTCTCCGTCAGTTTAATGGCATTTTATTAAAGAACCGATTGCAGAAACCCCGGAATCTGAGGAACCGGAAGAGTGTTTAAACAGATGAGCGGATGCAGAGAACTACCTAAAAGAAGTTTTTTGTATAAATGCTTTTTTTATAAAAACTTCACTAAAAAGCTTATGGTTTTCAATCAATTTACAACAATCATCATAATACCGGAGAAAAGAACTTTTCAAAGCGATTGTATATTAACGAGAAGGCCTCTATAGACTATAAGCGTGGAATTCACCGCTTTAAAACCGGCCTTACCCGTTACATAACTAATTATGATGATATAAAATTATTTTTTAGTTTATTATTTAGAAACATACTATATCAAATGATTCTTGTTAAAGTATATTTATAGAATTAAAGTTAGCGATTTATGTTTTCTTCCTCTTATTACTCACAAGGGGAAAGCTATTCGTACGATATTATATTATTATATCAACATATAAACACTAAACAATGTATATTAATAAATGAAAAAGCGAAGAAAATTAATTTAATTTAAATTAACAGATCTAGAAGAGGCAAATATAAACTTTTTGTTCGCATTTCAAATTTCTATAAATATTTTTAATTGAATTACGACAAAAAAAAAATTGAAAACCATGAAACCATTATTTCCTTAACGTCCCGGGTATTTCTACGTTTTTTTCAGTTAATGCTCAAATATTAAAAAATTACTAAGAAAATCAAATAATGACTTCTTAATCATCAATTGGATTAAAAATTCTACAACAATGATCACTTGTCCTTTTTTTAGGCCAAAAAGTAAACAGTAGTTATTAAACCAACATATTCATCACTTTGTTCAAAATCCGAACGTACCATTACTCGGCATGTAATGTGCAACTTAAAGTTTTATACATTCACGGTCGACAGAGTACTGTGATGAATATTTGAATCCGTATTTTACTTATAGTGATTTTTATCAATAATAACATATACAATATAACATATACAATATAACATATACAATATAACATATACTCGTACATGTTAAAGAAATTTCAGTTTTTCAATAGTAAAATAAAATACCTCCTAGCGTTATATTTTATAATTATTATTATTATCGGATGGTTTTTTCAACATAAGTTAATCATGATATGTATTATTTAAAATTTAAATATTTTACGGACTAGAGAGGGAAAATTTGAGTATGGGGGACCTTGGCCTAAGAACACTTTAAAATAAATAAAATCTAATACATGATCTTTGGAAATAGCTTAGACAATTGTTTCGTCTTACATTTAATATTATGATGATTTATTAGGTTTTGAAGGTGACATTAATTACCTCGTATGATTTCGAATTGATTACATTTTGTCTTGGATAGGTAAGCATTTAAAATATTTAAATTATTAAAGACAATTATTTATGTCAATTACCTATAATTAGAGAAAATTATTTATAGATTAGATCTTTTATAACAGACAAAAAACAATAGTTGTTGTAATATACGTATAAACAGTGAAAATTTAGAATTTGTAAAATTATATAAGTAGTTAAAAATAGTAATTATATATTTTTATGGTGTACTGAGTAGATTAATTAAGTTGGTAATCTAATTATTATACCTGCTAGGAAGTTGGAATTACGGGCAGCGGACATGGTCACAGGTTTTGTTTATACTTATGAGATTATATTCAATGCGTTTTGACGTGATGATAATTATGGTTTTTTTTTTTTTTAAATTTACTTTTATCCGTTGCCTGCCTGTCAGTAAGCAACAAAAAATATCGTAACGGTTTAAGCGTAACAAACCTGAACTATATATAACTTTCTACATTTGTGACATCACTTAAGAAAAATACTAAAAATTATCATTTTTCCCACATATTTGATAAATAATATTTTCATATTATCCATTCTACAATTACCTATATTATTATATTTTTTTCATTACTTGTTGATTGTGCATCTATCTGCCTATCTGAACCACTAAATATATATATACACTTAATTTTGAAAGAGTGATTTGAGATTTTATCTGGCTTAAACAGTTGTTACACTTGAACAAACCTGCATTTGGTTGTTAAAAAATATGGATGTTTAGATCCATACATTTTGATTGCGTGAAACGTGAATCACTACCCCAGTAAAACATTTAAAATTATTTTTCTATTGTTAGTATAGACTCCGGGTGATTTTTTGGAGTATACTGCGCTGATCTAAACCAGATTTGGTTGCCCCGCCTAGTTACTTTCACTCGTAGCGTGCAATAAAATATTATGTAGGTACCTGATTCAGGTAAATTTAAAACACGAATTGGGAACACAATACCACAATTTTCGGGTCAGTAATTAAAACATGTTATACGAATTGATATAACTATCATTCTCCATGGTTTAAAATACATATTAATATATTGATATAATATAGCAGAATGGGGCAATCAACAAAAAGTAAATACTGCTCATGGCCTCACGTTAAAGACCACTGTTGTAAATGGATAGTTTGGTAAAAACAATATAAAAGATAGTTTATAGTTTATATACTTATTATGTAATTATAAATCAAGGCAAACGAAAAATCGATTCTGAGTGTAGACTTCTACGCTAGTACATTAGTTGGCCTTTTTTTTTTGCCTCGTAGCTAAGGTAATTATAAAATCAACACAAATAAAAAGCAATATATCGACATTTATTGTTAGTTAATTTAACTTTATAGAAAATATGAATATCTAAACCTTTATTTTTTTTTCAAATCAAGTACAAAGATCGAAAATTCGCATCAAGGTACAATGTGAATAATTTGGAGCCTCCTTACTAACCAAAAAAGTATTTTCTGAGAAAAAACAAAAAAAAAATTAAATATATAATAGTGTTAGTATACATTGAAGTATTATATTATGCTCATTCTTCCGATGGCGACAATAGAAAGTCTGTTGGGGTGATACGAGTCGTGGTGAAACGTTTGTCGAAGTCACGAGTTACAATACGATAATTCTTGTTATTACCTACTGACACTCACCCGATATAGGATCCTGGAAATTGGACGAGTCGAATATGCACGTTTGTATCTGTGCTCATTCACATTGAAATATACCTACGGAATTTTTTGGTCGGGGGTCGTAAATCTCATAATTAAATTCCAAGTTTCAACCGATATGCCATTGCGTTTTCCTTTCGTTTTGAAAATCTCGCGTGTATCGTAAAATTACACGGTCGGTGATGAAATACAAGAGAAAGTTTGTTGGGGTGACGCGAGCCATTTTAAAGAAATCATGATTACTAACGAGCACAGTATATACATATATAGGTAGATACAAGACGCACGAGATTACATAGGAACTTGATAAGTTGGAACTTGTTAACTTAAATAAAACGAGTGCACCGTCATCACTACACCGGTATATCATTTGTTAAATTAAAATCCAAAAATAAACGCAAATTGTAATAAATTAATAGCTGTAGTCAGTTATTTGAATTTTAAAACATCGGGACGATTTCCATCATAAATCAATATTCTCCTTTAAAACCGACAGGCGATAATAAAATAGTATATAGTTTGTAATAATTTTTAGCCGCATTTAAATTTCCACATGAATAATCTATTTACTAATCGAATTCAAAAGAAATGTTAATCTCTAAAAAGAATAATACAATTAACATTATTTTTCTACATATTTGCTTTTATACTATATGCTGGAATAATTTGGCTTCTAGTTCGAAATAATAATATACCACAATACCTTTTTTATGAAATATGAATTAAAAAATTTCAAATATTCGGTAAATATGTTTCGAGTTTAAAATTGTTGTTCGATAAAATTGTTTATTTATATTCGTTTAGTCTTACGCTCGGGAGGCACACGTAAATCAGGGCTGGATTCTAATTAATCACTATAAAATATCGTCTATCTTCATAAAAATAAATAATCTAAATAGATTACGCAAATTTATCGTATCTATGTTTGACCAATATTGTGTAAATATTTTCTCGTACGTTTACTAAATGTAAAAATTCAAACGGATAATTTTATTCTATAATGATTATAATTATATCATATTAAAAACAATATATTGATCAAAATGTTCAAGGCTGGAAGCAATTAAATTATTTTCTTGAACGCAATGACGACGTTATACCTACGTAATATTTTATATGTAGATGTAATAATTATGAATACGAAATTTGACATAATTTTCGAAAAAATTTTTTTTCCTATTATTACACCGTATTATGTTCAAGGGTATAGTGGAGGGTATACTGTATGTAATGTATGTATATACTATAATGTATACTATCTGTTATAGTGAAATCACAAAATATATTATAAAATTATATCAAGGTATTATTATTTTCATTTTTGGTTGATTACGACGAAAACATAAGTTAATTTACTACGAGTATTTTACCCTCTACTAAAACATTAGTTTAGACAATGCACTCGAGAACATTAGATTTGTACTTAATGATGATGTCGTTATAACTTATAGTATACCCGCTGTTTTTTTTACGGTTATAGCACTGATTATATTCGTATAATGTACGATTTCGTGTTTTTTTTTTTAAATGTATTTTATTCGAATACGAATTGAGCGTATTTGGAACACGGCAAAAACCGCCGCGGACTGATAAAACTTGTGTTTTTTTTTTTTTTTTTTTTAAATAAACATTAAAGTTATAGTTCTACTATAACTTAAATACATTGTTATACGCACGCATATATATTATTACAATAACTGTTAACAGTGAGTGTTTTGCATTTGTAAATCGTATCGTTATAATATTATGAATCATTAAAATTACATTTCATGTACCCATAATAATTAACTGCATATATTTCCGTTTACTTTCTCCAGTGAAAATCCTCCGGTATTCCGTGAGTAATTTGCTCTATATTAATAACATTTTAATACAACGTGTTCCGAAAGTGTGCGGTACCTACACGCATCTCTTAGAGGCCGTGGTACCTGCAGCACGCGTTGTCTCCGTTTTATAATTGTTTAAGACGTGGCAAATTTGCGGTCAGCGCGGATAACATTGCGCTGTTTGTATTATTATTGGGGTGAATTGACTAATCGTCAAACTCAAAGACAAGAACATTATCTGTGCAACGTTAGCAAAATTTGTTCGATAATTTAATTTCTTAGAGTGATAAATATCACAGTTTAATAAAGATTTTACAACTTATTTGAAAATTAAACTATTGAAAAAATAGCTTCAATGTTGCACAGATAATGTTCATATCTGTGAGCCTGACAAATATCCAATTCACTATAATATCAAAACTAACAGCAACAAAGTTGTCCCTGTTGAACGCAATAGTTTCCTATATCATTCGTTAGTGAGACGGAGATGACACATGCGGATAGCTCTTAATATTATTTCAAATTCAACCGTTGCTGCGCCTACAGATAAAATAAAACGACATTTATATTGCCGGTTTTATGGGGAGGTAGTAAGTGACGATGATTCTAGGTAAAGAACGCATTATTTTTTTTTTTTCAGAAATGTAGCGATAGCGGTAGCGCATTACATATTGAAAGTAGCGATTATCAATCGCCGATTATAGTAGTCGTTGTGTACAAGCTATTGATAATTGATTGCCATATTTTTTGTTTCTGTCTACTAATCGTTCTCGAAATATAAACACAATTTACACCCGGGAGATTGTATTTACTATATTTGTATAGGTACATGCACTGATTGGTACCGGTACCGTGATATGCGGTATAGGTATACTCATTACTCATTACTGTATAATACACAATCATTAATCGTAATCGTTAATAATTGTCGATTCACTCGGCGAGTGAGTAATAATGTTACAATCCATATTATCGTATATTATTGTTACGGCTATACGCGTACTATATTATTATATTACTATCGAGTCGCGAATATTAATTGTAACCGCGGCCGACTGTTGCTGCTCACTCTACAGTTATAATAATAATTCATTCCTCTGTGGCTCTGTATACTTGTAATTTATCATAAAGCGGAAAAACAAACCGGGAGAACGTTTTATTTCGGACGTGCCACGCTGGCATCACGTCCGCCTTTTCGACTCGCACTGGGAATCGGTTCTCAATCAATCTTTTTCTAAATTCGAAGAATTTAATTTATCATCGTAAGTGTGTATTTGTATAGTGCGTGTATGCGTCTGACACAAAACTATCGAAACTATATTATATATTCGTCGTAGAAACGCACGAAGAAACTCGAACAGCATAATCATCATCGTCGACGCAGACAGCGAAGCAATTATATATGACCTGAAGGTTTAACGTGTCGTAAAAAAAAAAAAAAAAACATATCACCAAATCACCAAATTTCTGGGTAAGGACAGATTTTCGGAAATAACGAAAAAATACTAAATAAATTATTGATACCGTGATAAACCGCGACAAACCGGGCGATCCGATTACCACGATATAGATTTCTAAACGACCGAATATCGAATAAAATTTCCATATTCTTCGGTAATCATATGCCTAACAATATATAATATAAAAAATTAAGTAAATTGCGTTGAATGTAAAGAGGTAAAATTAGGGGGGATTTCTAAAACTACAGAATATCCCGCTATCGTCGTCATTAGAATCTGTACGTATAGCTACCATCTATAGTTATTAGTTAGTAAATATACTAATATTATGTGCCAATGTTTCAAGAGGGAAGTTGGATGGAATATATTATATTTTAATACCCATATAGAGGAATTTAGTTCCAATACGTAACGTTAAACCATTGCTATCAAAAAACGATTTTGAAATCAACAAAAATTAGCAGTTTTCAGAAAACTATTAGGAGATTTAAAATAATCGTCTGACTCTTCTAAATGAACCGACTAGATAAAATATTCTACGTAGAAGCTCCTATGAATTATTTGGTTGGCGCAAGAATCGCCTACATCTACATATTATAATGTATGTCAAAACAATTAAATAAATGGCAACAAATTATAAATCGGTTATCCGGCTAAAACCCTAACACCAAATTTTCTGAATTCGCGTGTTGTAGTGGCTTATTATAGTGATGACAATATCGCGATAGTGAATGTTTGCAGATTATTCAAATGTGCAGATTTACCTATAAGGATAACATAAGCGGAACTATTGTGGCATAATAACATAATATGAATATGTTAAGATTATATAAGTATGATCCATTAACGCTTTTCTACTATGCAATTTCGAAAGAGATATGTACCCATCTACCTACCTATCTACAATGGGACGGCAAAACGAGAACTGGTAATTCCGCGATGCGAACGTGGATGTCTTCTTGTACACGAGTATATATTATAGGTAATAACATTATTATTATTTTTTGAGACAAGACGGCCTTCGGTTATATAACTTTATTCAAAATTATTACAGTTCCCGATGGAGATTTCTAAAAAAAAAAAAATAAAAATGTATTGGCTTGGTCGGATTGCCAGTTGTAATTCTCGTCGAACAAGTGGGTACCTACCTATTATATACGTTTTGTTATATTATTACACAACATGATTATTACCTGTAAAAGATTCGAAACAATGTTATATTGTTTTGCCTATTGGAACGCGTGTACGTTTTGTTTGTTTTGTTTTCTTTTATAGCGTTTATTATTATTATTATTTTAATGAACCTGTAGGTATAAACGCGAGTGCGTATGAAAAAGGTATTAAATAGATGTTGCAGAACTTTTCAGTAGTGTAAAAATTAATTTTAACTGAAACCGCAGAACCGACATTTTACTACCGTAAGATGCTGAGTGTTACTCTGTGTTGTTTAACGTAATTTTGATATTTTAATGTTCAACATTTTGCTGTTTTTTTTATCGATTTCAAAATAAAAGTGACTTAACGTAATTGACACTATGGGTTTTAGAAACATAGGTTAAGTTGATTTAGATTTTCTTATACGACAAGTTTGAAAAGTGCTTTATAATTGGAATCTCTGCATTAAACGCAACTTAATTAAATCTTATGAAAAGGCATGGTTTTTTCCACGGGAAGTTGGAAAGGTAGGATACATAAAGTTATTTAATTTATATCTGTAAGCAACTACAAATCATTGTTAACGAAAAATGATTCTAATGAACCTTCCCGTTCTTTCTACGTTTTTTTTCCGGTTTTCCTAAATTATTAAGAAAAATACATTGAAAATTAAAAAACAAATTTTGTATTCATCAAAGAAGACAAGTTCAACATAAACAAAAAAAGTATCTTGTTGTTTCTCAATCGGCGCATTATTTCTAATAGAAAACACAAAGCTTACAAATTGAAAATGATAAAATCGACTACACCGTACAATTTTTTCCGGTTTTCACTACGTATTATAAAAACCAATTAGAAAATCAAAAAATGACTTCCCAATGCTCCAAATAAATCCAAAATTCAACAAAATAAGGTTTCTTATCAGTTTTCGATTGGAACAAATTTTATCGTCACAGTTAAACCAATATAAAACGGAGAAAGTACCTATAAGAGCCATAATCGTTTAATTATTACACTTACACCTTACCTATATAATACGTTATAGAAGAAAATCCAGTAATTATCGAGATTTATACGTTTAAAATGTTATTCGAAATACAAATTTAAAAACAAAAATACTCGAAATAATAAGTTAAATAAATTCCTATACAGTACGCAGGTAACGCGTGTACATTATTCATATGCGTGTTTTAAACGTAAAAAGTTGTTTTATCAAATCTTCTAAAAATATACGTTGGCCTGTGCTACTTTCTAATTCCACGTTGAATTGACAGAAATATTGTTTATGATAGTTATAGCAACAGTTCGGTTTTCAGATCATTTCTTATGGTCCCGTACATACCTACTTGTAATTTTACGATCCTGTATTAGTCTAACTGCAGTCGACCAATAGATCTTGAGCTATTAGAGAAGTGTTGAGAATAATAAACATCCTCATGTGAATATCGTTACACATGATGATAATTATTATGTCATAGTATCTATTGCTTAACAATGTTTACAATCAAATATATAGATAGCCGAGAGTGTTGCGTTAACACCAGTATTAAGAGTAGAGCTGCGCGATTAATTATGTTTACAAATACTTAATATGTAAAACATTTTGTCGATTATAATGAAAGACAAAATTCGGTTAAAAACAATTTACTTAGAATGAAAGCACCTATCAATTTGTTTTGTTTAATTTGTCTAATAGTTAATATTTAAAATTTATTATTTTAAAACTGTATGTAAGAATACAAGACTAAATTTAATTTTAAGATTGATTGATTGTACTGAGTTTGAATATTTCCTATTGACCTTGTAATTTTTAATTTGTAAAAAATAATAAAGAAACACGCATATTGTCTGGTCACCGCACCATTCTCAATATTACTATACATAACAGTTGTACATAATTACAAACATCTTACATCGTACAAAATTCGCAATTATACTCGCCGAGTATACATTCGTCAAGTTCACAAATCATGTGGGACCAGCCTAAAGTCATTTGCGGCAATGTTTCAGAGCACGTTTATCGACAATTCAGACACTCAATAGTATTAGGCTTATTAAATTATTGGGACCCGTGCAATATAATTAAATCTGTTTAGATCTCATCTGGTAATCTTAAAAAAATAAATGATCGACTCAATTATTAATCGATTACAGAAGCGTACATAGGGAGGGATATTAGGGGTTATATCCTCCCCGTTGGCTTAAAAATGTAAAAAATATAACTAAATTAATATCGAAATGCATATATTTCAGAAAAGTTATGAGGAAAAGCTTTATGTATTGATTAGAAATTGGCTTTTTTTAGGATCCGGCTTTTAAATTACCAATTTCCATGATCGAGTTGGGTGGAGAAGACGATTTTACGATTCATATTTGCTATATCCTCTCCTATTGAAAATTTTTAGGCCACTTGTCGATTAAAAATCAATTATATTCGACACAGATTTTAATCGATTATAATCTACTCAAATTATTTATCAATTATAATCGATTAATAATCGGCATTGATTAAATCTATTATTATTAGCTTTATTTATAAAAACGAAAAATAATTGATTCATGAAAATAATCGCGCAGCCCTAAATTCATGGTACCTATTGCTCAACAATGTTTATTGTCAAATGTGTAGTCAATAATGTCGTGATTATGCGTATATTAAGAGTATTATTTGTGCAAATTTGTTTTTAGGTATTTTTAAAAATATTTTTATGCGCAGCTGTACTGTCTAAAATAAAAACAAATAGTTCCCTCATATCAACGTCTAGCCTAACAATTATTTTTATTGTTTACAACTTTATAATATTATAATTCAACACGTTAGATATAATTTGTTATTGGTTTATTGGTGTACTATGTTAAAAAAAATAAAAACATGTTATCGAGGAAACTCATACGCATACGCTTTGATTATAATACTATAATAATTACAATAGTCTTAAAATATAGGTAAATAGTTTAACATAGTTTTTTTTTTTTTTTGAGTTTCGGTTATTATTTTAAAACGTTATATAAAAGGAGAACGTTGGTTCTGCACTGATATTTTATTTTCTGTTTGTCTCGTGCATAATATTACAGCGACAAAGGCAATTATCAGGTTAAGTTTGGGGCAAACGGCTATTTTATAAAGAAGAGTATAAACTGTGTTTTTACCGATACTTTACTTGATGCTTTTATAACTTAATAAATTATTGATGGTTCAAATTAAAGGACATTAAATTAAATTAAAAATACTTAGTAAAAATATAAATATAAAAATTGATAAAAATCATTCATTAAAAGCATATTCAATGTTCTACTTTATTAAAAGTATAATGTATATGTCTCTTTGCTTTGATAAACTCTGATAAAACTAACCAGAAACACCGAAACTACGGCTTTTTCATTTTAGTGTATTTTGTGAGAATATATTTGGGTGTAAAACTACTACCTACTTTTGATTTTAAAATAACGATCAATATTACAAATTCCACAAATAGATAGACTAATAGATAAAATACATTTTACTGTTGAAATATTTTATTTCCGTCAATCCGTTAACGAGATATTCTATTTTTAAGCAAGGGTAGAGGGAAAGTAGTGGTGCATTATTAACACGCCGCGCGCCCTTTCACCAAATTACACTCCAACTACTCTCCTCCAATCAAAACTTAATAGTGGAATATCTCGTCAACGGATTGATAGAAATCAAACATTTTAACGCCAACATTTATTTTATATAATACTTCATCTATTTGTGGAATTTTTAATATAGGTTGTCATTTGAAAATCAAAAGTAGACAGTGGTTTTATCCTTAAAAATAAGGGTGACAAAAAGTAATATAAATATAAAATTTTAGAGCTGCTTATTTATTAAATTGTCTATAAAATATGTTCCAAAAAAAGACGTCCTAGAATAATGGAGACGGGTTCAGTCACTGTTATAGGTAATTTAATGTATATCTGTAAGCAACAATAAACCATTGCTAACGAAAAAACGATTCTAAGCGCAGTTCAGTTGATAGTGATGCTTTGTCAACAAAAATATGTCATATTATAGTAAAATAGTTAAATGGGTATTATATATTTTCTTTAATAATATTTATTTGATATTGTATCTTTTTTCCCGGTTTTCCCATATTTTTCCTCAGATTATCACATTTGCTAAGAAAACTCTTGGAAAAATCGAAAAATGACCTGTCTATAGTACCTTCTCAGTCAGAATTATTTTCAGAAAATGTGCTATCATTGTAAATCGGAGCGAAATTACTGGTAAAAAAGTTGTACACAGAAAAAAAAGGCCATAATATTTTTTTACTAATACCTACATTTCGTACATTTTTCGTTTTTAGACATTTAATCCCGGTTTTCCTAGTTATTATGAAAACCGATTGAAAAATTACAAAAAAGACCTCTCTTAACTATGAAGATAAATTTTCCTTTCAGAAAATAAGCTACACTTATTACATGACAGCAAGATTTCTGGTAGAAAAGTGTGCAGGACAAATCAAGGGCTATTTTTCGATTAAAGTCGTCCGTGCGACTATCTAGCGATAGCTAGGTCTCTAGGTATACTTATAATGTATTTGTTTTTTCCCTATCTAGGTAAAAGCTAAAAAAAAAAGTGCAAACATTGCTATTCAAACCCTGGGTTTAGACCCGTGATCCTTGGTATGACAATACGTATTCATAACTATTTGTCTACAACAAATGTATATGTAAAGAGACAATATAGAGTTTTTTTAACATAAACAAGACATATGAAAAAAAAAAAAAAAAAAACATAAACATGTAATATCTGCATAATATCTGAACTTCAAAAATTTATAATTTCTAAACTTAATCAGTCCGCTCAATTCTGACTTTACCAACCTTCTTAAATCAGCAATACACATATGTTAAAAAAAACAAAATTGAAAAATTAGATTTGTACCACATAATTGTTTACTCAAACAACCGTCGAAATGTAATATCAAAATTCCTTTATAAAAACAAATACTACATTCAACAAATTTTTTTTTTTTTTTACTACAAAGTAAGATTTAATGAACTTTCTGTTAAATTTTCAAGCATTAATCCAATTTTACCACTGAGTACCTACCGAATACAAATTACGTACAGAAATCGTAAAATTAAAATGTCTATAAATAGCTCAAATTTTTTGAAAATTTTACCACGTCTAGTAAAATCAAATATAATTTTTTTTCCCGAATTTCAAGTCTCTACGAATATTTTTAACTGAATTATAACAAATAACAAAATTAATACAATTATAAAAGTATTAATTTCGTACATTTCCCGTTTTTCTTACGTTTTATCCTGGTATTTCCCAGATATTATGAAAACCGCTTGAAAAATCAAAAAATGACTCTCCAAAAGTACCATCTGGACAACATTTTCTTTAAAAATAGTTCCGCGCGTACATATCTGAGCAAGATTTATGGTCAAATGTTTGTACACATGATAAAAAAACAATAAAAAAAAAATAAACATCTTAGTAAAACCAATACAAACAATCGCTTAATCACGTATTGTTATACGCATAGATAGGTACGCAAGTATTTACTTTTCTAGATTAACTAGAGTGGTCGTTCAGTCAAGAGTTTGTATATTGTTTTAAATTCCATTTTGTGCGTTGTTATAAATCTGTGTGTGTCTATATTACCAATCTAAAATATTGCAGAGCCCACACTCCCCCCAAAATTAACCACGAATTAATCGAATCTTCAATATAATAAAATACAATTTTTGATTATGATTTTATATTACTCTCTCCTCTCCCCCTCCCCTCTGAAATGATTCTATGTTATACCTGGTGATTAATTTAAGTGGGTACACTTGTTATCTCGGAAACTATTAACTTTTTTCGGAATTTGTTTTCTAGATCATTTATGTAACAAGATGCACTACAATTTTATATTTGTGTTATTTTTTGTCACTCTTATTTTTGGGGGTAAAACCATTACCTACTTTTGATTTTCAAATTGCAGCCCACATTAAAAATTCCTTAAATAGATTGAGTATTAGTTAAAATAAATTTGAGTGTTGAAATTTTTAATTTCTGTTGATTCGTTGACGAGATATTCCACTTTTAAATTTGGATTGGACTGTTGGAGTATCATCAGTGTGGCAGTACAGCGCGCGACGTGTTAATAATATACCACTACTCTCCTCCAACCTAAAATTAAAAGTGGAATATCTCGTCAACGGCCTGATAGAAATCAAAAATGTCAACACTAAAATTTATTTTAACAAATAATCAATTTATTTATGGACATTTTAATATAGGCTGCAATTTAAAAATCAAAAGTAAGTAGTAATTTTACCTCCAAAAATAAGGGTGACAAAAAATAACATACATATAAAATTGTAGAGCAGCTTGTTTTTTAAATATTCTATAAAATAAATTTCGGAAAAAGTTAATACTTTCCGAGATAATGAGTGTATCTACTTAAATAAATTACCTGGTATACTTCCACCGAATTCTGTTTACTGTTTTGTTGGTTATTGTGCAACTTCGATCGGTATGTCGTAAATTTTCATAAATACATTCAAATTATATTGTATTGATTTATTTTTTTTTAAGTAAATATTTAAACATTGTTATAAAATAATTGATGATTACATGTATCCAATTAATTTTTACCCTAAGGCCACCATTGTCCATTCATTAGAGTTTCGCCTGTATTTGTTTTCAAATTACTTACTAGTGTATGCGTTGAAAAATCTCTCAAATAAAAACGAAACAAATAAAAAAGACACACATCTCCCAAAACTTTACTGAAGGCGATAAATAATTCTAATCAAATTCCTACATGAATTCGACATCGTGGGGCGTACATATTTAACCATAAAATAGACGAATATTATTGTTATAATGCTTTCACTATGCGTAATCGCAATAAAGGTATAATTTATTGAATTTTAAAAATAAAAACCATTAATTGTTTTTCGACATTCGAATTGAAATTTTCGAAATTTCTAAAAGACAGAGAAAAGAAATTATGGCCTCTTTAGTAATCAAATTCACGTGTAAGTATAATATAGTTTTAAAATTTAATTTTCTTAAATGCATCTTAAGTACCAATAAAAATATTTCTATAGTCGGTGCCTATATTGTACTTAACATAACATAATAATAATGTTGTATCATTACGGTAAATTACACACAACATAATCTACTTTTGCAAACAAATGTTAAAAATAAAATAATATACAATATTTACTATTTTGATAGATATATCGCTTTTACTAATCCTATTAATTAAACCTGTAGGTAGTTAGTTAGTTCGTTTGAGTTTAATAAAACTTTAATGCTTAGTTTTATGTTGTTAGATAATAATTTACAATTGACTCGATTTTCTTTCATACAGATTTTTCGTATAATAATGTAATATTTTATTGTATATTGTGTTTCTACAATTATACAGAAATCGATTCTTTTTTTATGTATATATATATAATAATATAACGTCATGTTTTAAAATCGACCACCAGTACCTATAGAAATCCGAAAAATAATTATTCTCAATTAAGAAAATTACTTTGCATACAAATAATAGTATACAAATTTCTAACATTGTTATTATTATTTTATAATACACTTCTCATACACTGAGAGACTTTTGACTGATAAATAATCGCTTCGTTTTTTATACGGAATTATAAATATTATAATAACGCATACGTATTTAAAATAAAAGTACATGCTCAGCTGAATATGCAAAAGAAAGAGGTCTAATTTTTAAAATGACTGGAGACACTCTATTATTTATAAAATCATATGTAAACCTCATTTATATGGACAGTTTTATCTTCTCACATTACAAATGCTTGTTCTATCACGAGGGATATCATTTGGTATTTAAAATTAGCAAATGACTGTCATGTACAATCAGTCGCGTGGCAAAAACTTGTGTGATCGTATCACGCGTAATAGTCATTCAGTTAATTTTTAAATATCAGATGATGGAACGTTCTATCCTTCCAATATTACGCCGGATGTACCGGCGCGTTCCAAAATTCTACTAAATAATCTCCGACTAAACGCCACTAATGGTTTTCATTAAAACAAATGTACCTCTAAAAAGTCACCGTCGTGAACCACTGCTACATTATTCACTTAATTCTTATAATATAACAATAATATATTAACATATATATATAAATCGTATATGTACCTGAGTCCGTGTACTTGGGCATCTTATTGCAGCTGAATCGATCTGCGAGTTTCGATGGAGTTTATACCTTAGGTATCTATGTTAAATCGAGAACACGTGAGCGTCTCTGTTTCCGTTTAACGTGTTATTATGAAAGTGAGAATGTAAATTGAAAAAAAATAATATAAATATATATATATATTATAAGTATAGGTTAAGAAGAACGCGTACGACACGTACGACCGATGTTCGACGAATGATGATTGTCGAATCGCCGTCGCCGATGCGTCTGTTATCTGCACAGGTTTATAATTTTGGTCTAGTAGGTAGTGGTAGTGTTCGGTCACGTCTTATGGTTAGTCCCGCGATGTTTATACGGAGAAAAGAAAGTTGATTTACCAGGTTACCGTAATCACTAGCGCGCAGACGCCGTCGCCGCCGAAACGCACATATTTGGTTGCGCTCGTGGATTGCGATCCGTGCGTGTTTGTTGTTCCTTTGCTGGTAAGCATATAAGTATGTAAGTATAATATTGGGGGAGGAGGAACAAAGAGAGAACTGGGAGTGTTCGTACGAAATTATTGTTGCTCGTATGGAAGTCACCACCGATTAATGAGTATTAGAATAAAATAAGAGGTCACGTCCTGTCTAAGGTTCTGTCTATCTCACTCTCTCTCTCTGTTTCACTTTCTCTCTCTCTTTCTGTATATATATATATTATATATATGTCTATTATGTCTATTATAGATCTCTGTACCAGTCTCTTTCTCTCTCTATGTTTCTCTCTAACCGGTAAACACTAACCGATGTATAACCTTCCAACCCGTAGGTATAATATAATAACACACAACACATATAATCTTCGTGTGTATACGCACGTAGTTACGTAAATCGGCACAAAGCTTATTAAACGACGTGCGGCGTGACGAAATGCATAAAAAAAAAACCAAAAGGAACAAGAATAAGAATCACAATGACGGTGTCACCAGCAGTAGAAATAAATAAAAAACTGTATAAAATATTTTTGAATAATAATTAAACACACGGTGGCATATCCGTAAAGTGGTGAGTATCTTACCTGCGTGTATTTTTTTGGACTGCAAACGTGTTTGTCATAATAATATTATTTGTCGGGAAAACTGTTAAACGGGGGATAGAAAAGCATATATTGAAGCACCTGCGGTACGGTATTCTAAATGTTGTTTTGAAGATCTATTAAAATGTTTGAAATGAAAATATTAAAAAACGAAGCTTCATTCGGTTTGTAGAAAGTTTTTCTTTTCCAAAAAAATAATAACTTTCAAAATCTGACTATTTTATCTACGAGGAATGAGAGTTTTTCTCGTAAATAATGTTTTTGATCCGAAAACACACTGACATCAGGCCCCTAATACACTTTGTGCAATAGACTTTTGTTTAATTCGGGGATGTGTTATTGCGTGGAAGAAAACAACATCACTTTTGATCCGTTAACAGAGTCATCCACCAGAGAGGAGAATGCATAATTAAAATTCAATTATTATGTTATATGGACAAAGGTCCAGTTCCAAATTCCTTGACGGACAAATTATGCTACCGGCAACATTTCCGATCCCCTATATAGCACCTGTATAATATGTTAGTCCGTGACCCACAAAAATGGCGATTAATTAAAAAAATTAAAATATTATTCGTCCTCACTGTCACTCGTCGTGGCTATCGTAATCTCGGTAATATTGTCAAGTTTATTTATAATATTATAACCGCCAGGGTTGATCAAACAGGAGGTGATGATGGGGATTTATCCCTCTATAATCTTTTTAATTTTATATCTGGCTTTTGGAACAGGAGAAAAAATGGGGAAAAAATCAAAAGACGTAAGAGACGACGTTCAGACTTCCAATTTTCAGGTTTTCTTACCTATCAAAAATTACTCGGTAGCTTCCTAAAATATGAAAAATGAAAGTTTTCTAATTCTTTTTTAATGAAGATATACGAAGAAGAGTTGTTTCATATATGGTTTTCGATTGTTTGTATAAAAAATAAAATAATGAAAATAATAATAATATAAATTCTAAACACAAGTAATCGTTACAAATAAGCGTCATCCTCACTCCAACCCATTCCACTATCACTGATAACCCTTATTATTGTAACGAAAATATAATACGATAACGCAATTTTAAGGGACAATAACATTTTATTTTATCTTTTTAAATCTCATCTACAACAATCGTAATCATCATTGACGTTTCTATAACCTTATAAGACTCTTCGACATCGTGGCGACTAAAATGAAATATTCTTCGTCTTTATAGGTACACTATTTTCCAAACTGGAGATGCATACCTATAGTTGAATATAATATTGACAAATCAAATAACAACGAATATTTCATTGCTCGCCGGTAATTATCAACGAATATTGTGCGTCAATCATTGCGAACAACTCAATAATTATGCAATATTTGAAATACCGCAAAAAATTATATCACGTGTCCCACATTTATCAGAGCGTTATTGTACAGTCGGGGAAACGTATATTAACACTTCACCGACTATTGACTATTACCACTTACTATAATATTCTTATTCACATTTTATTGTATCATCATAACGTTTTACCGAATTAAAATGTCATTAAATGTAACACGAGTATGTACGAGTGAATATTGTTATGATGCAAATAGTCGAAATACGACTATTTCTCGATTTCTCGTATATAATACAACATAGCCGCAGGGTCGCGGTTATAAAAACACTTTGTTTTAAACAAGTCCCTATGTTTGTAACGTTCAAAAATTAAATTAAAATAACTAATTATTACTAATATTATATTTCGAACAGTGAAGTTATTTATAATATAGGTACCTATATTCATTCTTAAAATATTAATGGAAATTAACAGCTTTGGATAAAGAATTAATAACAATTACTGTTGTGTTCAATTGTTATTTCATTCCTAAATAATTTTGAAAAATTCTGTTTATAATTAACTATTACTATAAATTATATTATTTACAAAAAAATAATGTTTAAAGCGTAGACGTTTGTTTACAATTAAAAATTAAAAACACGTTTAAAACAAAAAAACGGTTTTTGCAACCCTGAAAATAAGTAAACGTATTTACATTAAAACTTTTCATATTAGATAAGCGAATAATTTCTCGATTTCGTACACACAGCTTCCTACTTTTATAACATTAGCGTGATTTTTATAATTCTATATTTGGGACAATATTTTCACCTTTTTTCGCAAAAGTAAATACACATATATACCCAGGTTATTACGTACATTTTTGCTTACTTAATTTGGATTACATTTTTAATAACCGAATCTTTAAAATTCTTTTTTTTCGATTACGTTCTTTATTATAATATACACATATATTTTACGCTTTTCAATTTTACTCGCATCGCGATCACTATCTAGGTATAGTAAAACGAATTATACAGACTCAATACCTAAATAAAACACCAAAATAATAAAACCCGGTACTCTCTCTGGTTAACTGCATAATATAGCCGTGCACTGACATTTCAACCGCCTTCGACAATCCCGCAATTTTTTGGAAATACCTAATACTTTCCATGTAAACTTCTTACATTATATTATCGTCGGTCAATATACTTTTCTCGGAATTCGTAATTACCCTCACACATTTTATAAATATTAATATTTATATATTATATATATTTATTTATAAATAGTCATATTGTATAAAAAAAAAAAAAAGTAATTTTATTTTATATTACTACTGCGCATGCTCTAAACTCACAATATTTGGGGATCTATGTAAAGGGTGTTCCACGAATATATACTCATTGTAATACTTCTCAAGACAACAAATGTATTCAAATTCTGTTTTTATATATTACTCTTAGTGATAAGGACTAAACATATTTATAGTTTAATTAATTTTTATGTTTTGGTAAAAAAACTAAAACATTGAGTTTTTTTATTATTTTCGAGAAATTTAAAAATAGCCATTTATTAGAGTTTAGTTTTTTGAAAATAAAGAAATAAAATATGAACATTTCGGTTAAAAATGGAAAAATTAGAAAGTTAGAAATAATCTTTGTTTTTCGAAAGTTAAAAAAAATTATTAATAGGTTATACCCTTTTTTATTTTTTTTTGTTCAACAATAAAAATTTGTTTTGGAAACAAATTTCATTCAGAATAAAAAGTTTCTCCATTTTCCCCTATTATTCGTCATATCTTTATATCTCTGAGCTCCCTGGATGAAGTAACTCCCGCATCTTCTATTATTTGCCAATTCCTCTCTTAAAGGTATTTATCAATGTTCGTTTTTCATCTATTGTTTATAAAACATCTTCATTTTGTTTTCTTTTAAGTCCAACTTATTCTCTACATCTATTGTCTATCACCGCATTTCCAGGACTTCTAACATATTAAAGTTTTTAGTGTTTTTGCAACTTTTTACAGTTTATTTAAAAAAAAAAAAAAAAAAACATTTTTAATCATAACGATAATCGAGTGAACAATTGTTGCTCCCGTACAATAATAAGTCGTGCCGGTATAATATTTTTGTATTATTCGGCCATGAAGCGTATTATCGTAGTCACCTGTATGGATGACATGTGTACACATCACGTACGCTGATTTATGAATGACGACGGCCCCCGTTATACTATTATAATGCTACATAGGTACGTCGCGGCCGTATTATAATATTATGAAAAATATTTTCGGCGCGTATGAAATATCTGTTAGGAGTGTAATATTATGTATATAGTGTACCTCGTATAGGCGCCAATAGGCACGCGATTCGTTACTTTCTATATAAGTACCTGCCTATATACGTATATATATATATATATATATAGACATACAGCGGTAACGAGAATATAATACAAGTAGGTAAACGCGACCGCTGGTGAAGGTTAAATTTTTCAGAATGTTACAAAATATAATGTTATACGCATCAATTATTTTAATAACCGCATCTATTATGGCTACTTATAATATTCGTTTTATCCGGATCTACGGCGACATAGTGCCGGCTGTAACGACAAAAATAGCGGACGCCACGCCGGACGGATCACGTAAAACGATGTTACGATATAGGTGTCGCTCCAACGGATCACGTAGCACTATACCCCGTGTCGTCGTCACGTCGTCGCGTGTTACACGTGCGTCTCTCGATAGACACCGGAGGAAATACTGTTATTTAATCGATATTATTGCTATTGTTAATATTGTTGTTAGTTATTTACCAGGACTCGGATTTTCTAGCGTTGGCTAATTATTAAAACTAACAGGGTGAGC